AAATCATCAATCGTTAGTCTGGCTAGTGGCTAGGGGGAATCATACCTAAGTGAGTTCCCAACCTGTAATTAGATTAACTTTAACTGAAGTTTGCTAGAGTAGTTTTAGTTCTTCCTTATTAATCTGGTTTGCTAAATAATGAACTGAAGCTAAGTAATAGTAACTCTAGAGACCCGTAGATTCGATATTTATTATCTGAGCCACTATACTGCAGTCCCTTCCATTGGTTACACTTGGCCATTGTTAGGATTTGTGTCATAGCGAGTCAAGTATCAGGCCCAAAAATCATGCTAATTTGAGTTCTAGATAGCATATTCATACACAAGTTATGTGGTACCTCTGATTCCACTCTGGGTACCGTAGAACTCATCAAACAAATATATTGACTCGCACGGAACTACACTGCGAATTAATCCCGACTAGATCCCAAGTTTTTAAACTCTAGCCGGGTGTAGTATAGGTAAAGTATTTAAATTGTCAACCCGGGCCGGTCCATGTACCCCCTACTTCAATCACTTAAGTTGTTATTTAGCAAAACATTTTTGGGTTTAAAACTAAGAAAACTACAAAGTGAAAGTAAATCGAGGAGAATTCTGCTTGAGGGGACTTCACCCAGGTATTGCTCCCCCTAGTCTCGTGCTAAGAAGCGACAAACAAAGCTCTAGTGAGAAGGACGTGTTCATACAGCGCTAGGTGGTGCAACTAGCTAGGGTCAAACTCCCTTAGTCGATTAATGAAGGAAAATTAACAAATATAAGCTAGGGGAACTAGCTCTCTTAACCGTTAGGTCAAGAATTGTGATTTGTAGCTAGAGAGTCTATCCCTCTTTATCAATCAACCAAGGAGATCCCTAACTCTCTCTTAGTTAGCTAATTGAGAGTCGTTGCAACAAATTAGAAAGCTAACTCACTTAACCTTTCGGCTAAGGGTGACAACGATAGGCTAGGGAACCTAACCCTCTCAACTAGCCGGCTAAGGATTGCAAACCAAACCCTCGTAACTTAATCCGGTCGGCAGAGAGACCTATCCCAGTGGAATCACGGCCCTACTCCGATATTTGAGATTTTGATCTTAAATTGACCTAAAGGAGGTTACCCAAGTGGCTAAGGAGTCTAGCTCCTAATTGGACCAATAGGGGATTTTCACCCTCTAGGTTAATTTCACCCAATATTGGGTTAAAGCTATCATTTATGAATAATACCTCAAATAACATATAAAACACTCAATCAACACAATAGGTTCATGTTCTTGCAACCTAACACATAGAGAGACTAGGGTTCACAATACCCAAGTGAGTAGGTAGGCTATTTCATAGCTAAACCAGAGAAAACAACAAAAAGAAAAGACATAACCATGAAGTGATGTCAATCTTTCCTCCTTGTTGCTTGAGATTCCCTTGAGATGAAGAAATCTTCAATCCTGTAGCTAGGAACAGGCCCAAAGCTCCTTCTTCCTCCTTTGATTTGCACTTTCTCACTATAGAAAAAACCATAACCTCTCACTAGAATCCCTTTATTCTGAAAATGAAAACCTAACCTAAAATGAAACTCTCCTCTTTCTTCCTTTCAGCTCACATTTTATACCAGGATCCGTTTCAGTTCATGGCCTTAGTTCACGGTCGTGAACTCTTCAACGCGTCCGTGAACACAGAGCGCGATGTCGAAACCCGAATCAACAATTTATTTGTAAATACTGAAAATCAAATCGGTAACATTGTTCATGCACTTAGCAACATGTATTGTATACACAAAAGTACTACAATGTATTTGAATAAAACAAAATTCCTATATGATATAAAAGTAACATTTATGTAAAAGAGATTTCAAGCATGTATTTTCCATATCATTGAATTTAATATATTATAATAATCAATAGTGGCATCATTAAAAATACCTACATCATATATTATTTTGTACTTTTGCTCTTCATTATATTAAACATAATAAAAAATCATTAACATAATCATTACGCTCTTAATATTAAATTCTTATAAAATGAACGCTCTCACACTCCCGCTCACGCTCTCACTCCACAAACTAGTTACATAAGTCTTAACCACATTGGAAGACCCTTTGAAGTTTGAACCATCTAGACTGAACTAAACCCATATTTCATTGGACTGACATGAGAGAATGTGGCTATGAGCCCGGCCCGTTCTGACCCACAGCGATTTCCACAGATCGCACGGCTCGACTCATTGAGCTGTTTTACCTCACCAACGACCCAGTGACGAACTCCCGAGATCGGAGTTCAATCAAGAACCAGGTGCCTCATCCATTTTGACGATTCAATCCGCGCCTTTCAGAGTGCCTTGCCGCGCTCATTATTCCTTCCTTTCATGGTGCTACGGTTGATTCGTCACTAAGAAGCGAATACAAACGTGGGAATCCCGGCCCTAATGAGGTTGCTGATGGGCGGAATTTGATCGCCTTTCTTATGGGTTCCGCCTAAAATTTCTGGTTAGCGCCTTTGATTGAACTCCTTCCTTTCCTCTTACCTTCTTTCTCAGAATCTGTTGCTGATTGGACTTGTAAGTGGCTGATGGAATGTTCTGAAATTGGATTGGCTCTGGCTCTCGGTGATTTTTGCTGAGGAAGCAAGACCTCTCCTGTTCTTCCCCCCCCTCCCTTCCCCTCTTTTCGGGTCTTTAAGCTATGCGAAGTAACGTTTGGAAATGGGTACTGGGCTTGGTGTACATTTTTGCTGTCGCAATCATCTGGATAGGTGCTAGTTTCGTGGTGCAGTCAGTTGTTGATGGTGGCGTTTCGCCGTTCCTCATCACCTATATCTGCAATTCATTGTTCGTGGTGTATCTTCCTATAGCTGAAATAGCTCGCTATTTAGAAGATTGGAGGGATAAGAAGAATGGGACTTCACTAGAACTGAGAGAGTCGGAGAGGGATATTCTTCTTGACGAGTCCGAACTAAGCGAGGAATATGAGTACGATGGATCTACTTCCAATCCATCTATGCTTGTAGAGGAGGACGAATTGGTGGAGGAGGAGCAAGAAAGTGGTGAAGGTCTTGATTCGAGATTGGATACCGTCATATCTTACGAGGTCGAACCACCCTTTCCTGAAGATGACAGTGTCAATGAAGGAGTTGACTCCAAAGGGCGATGGACACGAACAAGGGTGGCATGGGTCAGCTTGCTCATTTGCCCATTCTGGTTTTCTGCACAGCTGATGTTCAACCTGTCCCTGAAGTATACGACTGTGACGGTAAGCATGTGAGGGTTCATAAAATCAAATCTCTTTCTGGCTGTTATTCATTTGAGGTAATGTAACAGAATTTCCATTTTTGTTATCTGCAGTCGAATACAATTTTGAGCAGTGCATCCAGTCTATTTACCTTTTTGGTGTCCCTAGTTTTCCTGAGCGAGAAGTTTACCTGGGTAAAGTTTGTAAGTGTTCTTCTATGTATGGCTGGAACAATTATTGTCAGCTTGGGTGACTCAGAATCTGGACTAAATGCAATTGCTTCAAGCCCTCTTCTTGGAGATATTTTCGCTCTGGTATCAGCTGGACTCTACGCTGTCTACATTACACTGATCCGCATAAAGCTACCAGATGATGAAGAGAAAAATGGAAGGGCCAGTATGGCTCAGTTCCTTGGATTTCTGGGTCTTTTCAACCTCTTCATTTTCCTTCCAGTCGCAGTTGTGCTTCATCTTACTAAGCTAGATCCTTTTAATGCACTTACCTGGAAGCAGCTTGGACTTGTTGTTGGCAAAGGTAATTAATTTCATCCCTTCTTGTATATGCCCAAAACTATGGTTTCCATCTTTTCTTGTAAGAATTGTTGTTTCAGCAGAATACACACTAACGTTCCTGTGTATTTATTTTAGATAGTACTTACAGTATTGCTACGGAAGGTTATTTTTTTGGACCGAGAATGCCTCGAGTATTTTCACTGTCCCTGTTCAAACCATTTGGTGTATTGATAAGAAATGTTTCCCTTGATGATTTAATGCTCTAATGTCCTTTTCCCATTCCTGATTCCACCATTAATACTCCTGGTGTATTGAGCAACTGTTTTAAATCCAGTTGATTAAATTACTTTCTTATGCCGGCTGCAAGTGGAGTAAGAATATTTTGGCTGAAAAGATGTTTCTACTTGACCTTGCTCTCCAATTTAAGTCATAGGAACTTAAATTTTAGTTGAAACAAACGCATTCATTGCTGATGATGATGTGATGACACGATGCATCTTTTGAATATGACATAACAATTAGACTACTCGTGTAGGTCTGGAAGTAAGTTGTTCTTAGCAAACTTATGAAATCTGACTCCCTTCTGACTTGGAAACAGGTTTGTTAGACAACGTGCTGAGTGACTACTTGTGGGCGAAAGCTGTGTTGTTAACAACCACGACAGTAGCCACTGCTGGTCTTACAATCCAGGTCCCATTGGCAGCTATTGTAGATAGCATCACTGGCAATGCACCTCGTCTCATGGATTATCTAGGAGCCATAGCTGTGATGATTGGATTTGCTGGAATCAACATCCCTTCCAATGAATCAAAAGATGCGGGGGCAGAACCGGAAGATTGTGATGGTAGACTTGAAGCAACACAAGCCAATGTTTGAATATGGCGGACTCTGTAACTACAGCGCCTTGTTTCATATGTTGATTGGACACCATTTGTCTTCTGTATCCAACCATTTACCACCACTTTTTAAAGATTATACATTGGGAAGGCTTCTGAGTCGAACGTATTAGAGCTTCTCCGTTCATGTTGTACAATTTTGTTTATCCGTCTCTTTGTAAGCACATTGTACAATTTTTGTCGAATGTAAAACTGAACAGAACCATTGCAATAGAGGAATCCGCTTATGAAATTCGAATACTCATTAAAAGTTCTGCGGCCATCATCAACTTTCAGGCTGATGTCCATAGGCGTTCAAAGACAGATCATAATGATAAAAATACCCCGCTTATAATGGGTGTTCCCAACAACCATTGCACAATAGCAGCTGGTAATCCAATCGATAAATTTCCTTAACTACGTGGTGAGGCAATGTTCAGATTCCCATATCTCTGCATGACTCTCCTAGTTGCTAGAGCCGCAGCCTCGCTTGCACGCACTGTGCCCTGAGCCATGATGGTAGCAAATTCTTGACTGATCTCGTCCTGCACTTTGTTCCTCGCATCTCCAAGTGGATCGGCAACAGAGGCTTTCTGCTCGCTTTTGGAAGGCTCAATGGCAGGAGGGTCAGACCTAACTGATGGGACCTTGTTTTCTGACATGACTTTATCTCCAGACTCCTCAGATGAAGCTTGTCCAGCAGAAGATACAGCACCATTAGCTGAGGATTTATTTGCAGTTTGTGCTTGCTGGCTAGACGATGTAGGCCTGAACTGTGGTGCTCGAGGGACAGCTCCTGCTCTCAGTGTCGACTCTAGGTTCTGAATCATGGGCACTAAGCAAACAAAAAAAAAAGGCTTCACAGTTAAAGACTAGAACAACAACTTGACAATGCACAGATTGCATTGCCCAAGGTGAGATCATCTATATATCACAAACATATGCAAACTGAAATGGAAGAATATCACACTTCCTCAGCCAAAGAGGGGTGTCAAACATGAGCAAGAGCAACTTACACATTAGGGAACCCATTGGACTGCTCATAACTTCATTAGGAAGCTGAAGAATGTAGTCTGGAATGGATGCTCCAACCAAAAATTGTGCAACCTCGTTGCTAAAATTGTTACAATTGTGTTTGAGCAAACTGTACGTTTCGGCCGTATAGCGAGAGCTAATCTCATCCAAATACATTTCAAATACATTCTGGGGTACATGTGTGACTCCCAGCTCTACTACTTTGATAGCTGTCCCATATGGAGTCATTCCAGCAGCGTCTTTCTGTATGCCTCCGCCAAAGTAGTATTCATTGCCGTACACCACTACTCCTGTATGCCTGCATGGTCAACAAATGAGATTTAAATTTGGAGCCGCACTTATCGATATTTGCTAACATTAGGGATAATGAACCAAGCAAGAGGTTCAAACAGACACTAACACCACGTTCAGCACACTAATAGGTCCAGAATAGGCTCTACCAATCACCTATGGCTAGATTTAGACAAGAGTGTCTCATAGCAAGCTAAGCAGTTGCACATCAAAGAATGCAAAGCTTCCATCTTCTACTTTTGCATCTACTTAAGATTAAGACATCCAACATTTGCATTCCTCTAAACCTATAGAGGCCTCTTATATATTCACCTCTATTTCAAGATCTTAAGCCTAAGAATGCAATCAAAATCACAATTCTACGTAGAACCGTTTTGGTAACCTAGAAGCATAAAAGTAAAAAAGTAAGATTTTAAACTTTAAAGTTTAGATTTTGACTACATTTGTAAGTAAAAATTGAGATTCTATTTAGAAGCGTATTAATAACCTATAAGTGTAAAAACGTAAGCTTTTTAGTCTTAAATCGCGATTTTTACTACATTGAGCATAAGAGCACCATGAACCAATAATGGGGGAGCAGAATAAGCACCAAATGATCCAGATACATTCTGAATTTCTGATAGTAAGCCCAATAACGTCAAGCATTGAGTCCAAACAAAGAATTCTCCCAAGCGCTTACACTATCAACCATGGACAGTGTACCCTGCACCTAATAGAAATACACATAGATCAGCAAAAGTTAATGTACTAACCATATACCCTCAATTGCTTTTCCAAGAAAGGTTGTGGAGAGTTGACGTGCCAGTCCCTGGCTGAGATCATACACGTTCAAGGTAACCCTGTGCCCTTCCTGCGACCAATTTCTGAGCTTAGTCAACCAGCCAAGGAAATAATACGCAAACAAGCGACAGGAGAAGCAGCCTCAACTCCAAAGCAAAAACCACAGCTTACCTCAGCCATAATCGAGAAATTCAGAAAAAGAGGGAGCTTCGAATCGACAGATTAACGAACTAGCCTAATCCTTTTTCAGCTACGCCTGCCGAGAGATCACAGAGAAATCGGAAACCCAAAAGTCACTTTCCAACATCACAGACCGAACATACGGGGTCTGGAAAGATCGCATTTCAACGCACATCGCAGAATCGCCGGCGAAATTCACAATAAATCCGGGAAGAAAATCCCCCATCCATAACTACAGATCTAATCCCGCAGGAAAAAATAAAAAATACCGTAGATCAAGCTGTGCGTACCTGGGAAATGCGGGGGAACGGCGCCGGAAAGTTCTTTAGCCGGGGCTGTCCCAAGAGGTTATCGGTGGACGATAAATTTAGGCCCTATGATTACTGAACGAAAGAAACTCCCGGGAGAACTCGGAAACAGGGAAGGGTATAGTCGTATCTGAATGAGAATTGGGAGAGAGACGTTTTTATAGTAGCTGCGAGAGGGAAATTTGGGCCCTCGGTTACCGAACGAAATTACGAAACAATGTCCGAGAGGAAGAGGAGAGAGCTTGGTAAAGCGAAAACTCTTCTTCTACTGCGTTCTAGAACCCTCTTCCCAATGGACATCCTAGGCGTGGCTGTTTGAAGTTTGAACAATGGTTTAATTTCAAATTTTTATTGGTAAAATGTGGTTTAATTTATTTTAATAACTAGTTTGGTACTCATTTGTTGACGTAACACAACGTAATTTAAGACATGTATTTTTTTTTAAGTTATTTGAAATGTATAATTTCATATAACATTAATTCGACATTGAAATTATATTTCAATATTTCTAGATTAAAATCTCTATTTATAAATGACCGAATGACTATGAACCTTACGAATGAACATTCATGATCTGTCTATTTAATGATGCAATCACTTAGTTGTTTGTGGTTGAAAAAGAAACTGCTAATAACACTAAAAAAAGGTAAAAATATCAACCTTTAGTGAAAGTGTCATTTATATTACGAAGTTTGTTGCTATTGACGCCCACCTTTGTCGTTGATATTGTTGTTGTTAGAAGTTTGTTGCTTGAAATTGAGGCCTTGGTTGAGGAAATAGGGTCTTGGTTGATATCTGCCGGTAGGCCCTAGAAAACCCGATGGTCTCGGATTAGCAGTGATTACCATGAAAAGTTTGAATGGTTGCGCTACCTCGGGTTGTATGTGTTGTTATAACTTGTGTAGCATTTGAGATAAAATTCACTTGTTCTCTCGGGTGGTGGCTTCCATCATAATTTGGCATTCCTTCAACTTGTGGTTGGGGCTTGAACACCATTCGCACACCATCAGTTGGCTTTTACTTTGACTTCTATCCTTCAACAGTACCTTGATCAACCCATCAGTCTTTGCCTCAAGTGAAGGACTTGCCTCGATAGCATGGAATTCTCTCACTAGTCCTCCTTCGTCTCCTTGTCATGCCCCAATCATACCTCTTCAACGCCATTTCTTTAAACAACTCGGATATTTGTGGGGGTGTCTCGTTGAGCATGTTCCCTTGGCACAAGGAATCGATGGGCATATGGTCTTCTTGGAAGAGACCGTTGTAAGAGATTCCAATCTTGAAATATTCATCAAAACCATGGTGTGGGCATTGAAGGAAGATGTCGGTATAGAGCTCCCAAGCATCTCTCAAGGTTTAAACTTCTTCTTGAGCAAAGCGAGTGATCTTTCTTCTAAACTCCATTGTCTTGGAAGGCTGGAAGTCCTAGCCATGAACTTTGTGAACAAGTCATCCCAAGAAACAATTGAGAGAGGAGGTCGATTGTTGAGTCAAGTTCATGTCTTGCCACTTAGGGAGTATGAGAAAAGCCTCAACCTAAGTGCTTCCTATGGTACTCCATTCATCTTTAGACCATCTGTCAACTTGTAGAATCGAATGATATGTTCTCTTGGTGACTCATTTTCAAGACGATGAAATTGGATTTTTCTATGGATCATGGTGATGATACTCGTCTTGATCTCAAAGTCGTTGGCCTCCACGAGTGAATGCTGGATGCTAAGTTGGATGTCTGCCACCTGCAGGGACATTTAGTACTCCATGGTCTTTGCTCCATCCCCATCTTGTGTGGCTTTGTTCGCCATACAAGTCTTTCCTCGCTTCCCTTAGCTCCTTCTCATGAGCAAGTAGCCGGAGAGTTCGATTGATGTGGTTTTATAGTGTTTCTAAGAGTGTTGGATTGCTCTGGGTCATACACCACATGCACACACTACAAACAACACAAAGAGCCAACAAGCAAGGTCCGACGCACGAAATGCAAGAAAAGAAAATTCGGATTAACAGTAGTTCATATTTTCAAGATAATAAACCATTGTCTTGTTCCTAGCAACGACGCCAGAAAACTTGACTCGTGTCCTACTACACACTCTCATTAAAAGGCCAAGTATAACCTATGATCGGGTGTAGTATAGAACAAGTATTTTCAATTTATCAAACCTGGGCAGTTTATATATTCGTACTTCAGCAAACTACATATTATCTAGCAGTAGAAACGTTGTTTCAAGCTATTAAATCAAACAAGCAAAATTAAGTTGAATTAAAGTGAGAAAGCATCACTCGGATGATTATACCCCTAGTCCCGTATGTGAGATGATGACATGATACTATAGCGTGATTTTCATGTTATATATATATTTAGGAGATCAAAACTAGTTAGGAGTCTCTATTCGAGTTGTCTTAACCCGCCTAGTTACTCTAATTGGAGAGGTGTACCAAACTATCGAATTAGGAAACTAGGGGACCAAATCCACTCCCTCAGACGATGACCCGGAACGACGTAAAAAACCCAATCACCCTCGTTCATGGCTCTCTACGATGATTGAATAGTGACCCAAATTACTATAAAGAGATCTTCTCTCTCTTAGGTTAATTTGCCACAAAATTGGGGGAATGATCAATGATACTCAGTTTTCATGATAAATACTGAAGCAATATATAATCAAACATGTCAATCACAACGTAGAGTTCATAACCATCAATCCACAATCCTAGAATAGGGTTTACATAATCCAAGTGATAAGGGAAATCTACTCCATAATAAGAGAAAGAACTACAACTAAAGAGAATGAAAACCCCATAGAAAGTTGATTCTCCTTCTTCCTAGTTGCTTGGAAATGGTGTTGAAGATGCAATATGGACTGCTTTGGTCTTGGGTAGGTCAAATTCCTCTACAATCTACATTGGTTCTTCATTGTCTCTCTAAGTTGTGGAAGAAGAAGAAACCCATCTCACACTAGAACTTTTCTCCCATTGAAATCTGATCTCCTTCTCCTTTTATACTTGACAGTGCATGTTTCATGGTATGTCTTCATGACCATAATGTGTGCAGTGAAACCATAATCTCAACCCAAAATGCACCTTTCACTTACACACTTCATAATTTTGTTGTACATTTCACGCCCTGAGCCCATGATCATTGCACTACCGGTGTGACTTCCGAATGCTCCTGGAACTTTTCACACTTCACGGTTTGGCTGCAATCTTCACAATCTCCTATCTGTGACAATGTCCTCTGAACCGTGATCCATGCAATTTCAAGCTCTTTGTCCCTTTTTTATCCCTTTTGTCCGAATTTCTATCTTCTCGCTCAATAGCCTGAAACATACTAAAACATTCCAAAACTTATTGTACCAAGGAGCAAACGACACAACAAAAGGGGTCAAAACATGTATAGAATGGCCCAGATCACTCCTGACACACGGAAAAAGGGGGGAAATGAGAAAATTGAAACAAGTATGTTGAAAGATAAAGTGCTAAACGGATATGTCAAAAGATTGGTATACGCATTTCTACGAGAAATATCATTTTACAAAAGTTTCACCCTATGTGTTTTAAACTTGAGCATGGTTGGTTGTTTATGATTGGATTAAATTTCTAATTATTCATGCATGTTATTGTGGTTAGAGCTCTCTCGTGCTATTGTTGACCTTGTAATATCACTTATGATTCACTACCTAAGATTGAAGTCAAGTGAGGTTTTCCAGTTTTCATTGAGTTGTATGATAATCAATAGTGTTAGCTTGGGAAGCAAACAAAGTTCAAGTGTGAGAGATTTCTGATAACGCTCAAATTATAGAGTTTTCATCTCCCTATATTTGATAAATTTATTTTTCTATTTATACACATTTAGTTGTTTCTTATATAGTTTCTATGAATTTCACAACTATTTGATCAATGAGTTTTCACAAAAATTGAAACAAGTATGTTGAAAGATAAAGTGCTAAACGGATATGTCAAAAGATTGGTATACGCATTTCTACGAGAAATATCATTTTACAAAAGTTTCACCCTATGTGTTTTAAACTTGAGCATGGTTGGTTATTTATGATTGGATTAAATTTCTAATTATTCATGCATGTTATTGTGGTTAGAGCTCTCTCGTGCTATTGTTGACCTTGTAATATCACTTATGATTCACTACCTAAGATTGAAGTCAAGTGAGGTTTTCCAGTTTTCATTGAGTTGTATGATAATCAATAGTGTTAGCTTGGGAAGCAAACAAAGTTCAAGTGTGAGAGATTTCTGATAACGCTCAAATTATAGAGTTTTCATCTCCCTATATTTGATAAATTTATTTTTCTATTTATACACATTTAGTTGTTTCTTATATAGTTTCTATGAATTTCACAACTATTTGATCAATGAGTTTTCTTGAGACCTTGATTGTGTTTTAGTATTATATTATGCCATTTTGGTATTATTTTGTGTTTTTCAAGGTAAAATGCAATCAATGATGATTTGGATCACCTATTGTATCATGTTGGAGGACTAAAAGGATAATGACTAGAAGATTAAGAAAGAATCCATCTATCAAATGAAGTCAAATTGAGCGGAACCTTGCATGAAGTCTTCATACAAGTCAAAGAGGAGTCTACTATAGAAAATTCATCCCAAACGGAGGAAGCAACCTCGAGGGTCTAGCCACAAGGCCAAACATGACAAGTCGATTCCAAATTCATCCAGGAGATTACTTGTGGTCCAAGGAACCCAAGCCTGTGAGGAAAACCACCGCATCGACTGGCATGTGGCCGGCACTTGCCTAAGGCCCAAGGAACCTTCTGGAAGTTTTTACTCGTTTCCAAGTCAAGGGATCCAAGTTCGAGTCGTACAAGAATGTTTGAGTCCGATTTTATGGAGGAAAAACGTCTAAAATACCAATTCTTTCATGTATTATAAATAGAGGCTAGACTAGAGGTTTTAGGTACAAGAAAAACGACATGAGTGCACACTACACAATTGCGAAACCCATACACTTTCTTTACTATCCGAGAAGTGCATTGCATATTGCATTGCACATATCAATCATGTTAGCATCCATTGGAGGGGTGCAGCCATGGAGATGCATTCATCATTGATGGTGATATCATCTCTCTCTCTTAAGTATAGTTAAATATTTTGTTGTTAGTGATGTGAATTCTATGATGCTTTATGCATTGCTTTCTATTATTAATGAGATGCCTTAGTCATTTTATATCTTTATCATCTATTATGTGCTATCATGGTGTTGATTATAATATCATCTTAAGTTGATATGAAACTCCTCTTAGATGGTATGTTGTTATTCTATAATGCATGATTGATGTTTGATACATTAGAACACCAATGTCATAGGCCAATGCTATGAGATAGTATGCACTAGCTAGTTGTAGTTCCTTATGCATGTGACGAAAGCTCGAGTAGGAATGTATTCGCGGAAGGGTTAGAATATCATAATAGAAGATGATGTGTAGATGCATGTTATTAATGAGATAGTATGCACGATCATCTAAATGAAGCTACCTAAACAATTGATTATCCTATATATCTTATCTATCCTTTATTTACTTACCTATCTATATGTCTATCTATCTTTACTTGTTTGTCTTATATGAAAAACCTACTAAAAATAGAGAACCTCAACCCATTGATTTTATCTTTGCTTGCATCTTTGTTTGAGTATAAAGTATAAACAATTAGTTACAAAGTAGTGGCTATTGGAAGACCATGTGGAGTACTACCTAGGCATTTGTAGGATAATTACTTTGTGATATACTAAAGTCGCATCAACCATCCAAACCAAACACTAATTTATTTCCCTCAATTCGTCACTCACTCATTCACTTCTTTCTCCTTTGTTAACAAGATTATGTTAGTGATATATTGCTTGGTAGATACGCTGGAGTCAGAGAGAATGATTTGTTTACTTTGAATGATTGTATCTTTGAAGATCTACATATGTTGAATCTAGGTATAACAATATTAGATATAAGGGACAAGTATTACCAAGAGTACCCGAAACCAACCGTATAGGATTACAAAACTTCTCCGCATGAATACTAATATGTATGAATTTGAATATTTAAAAATGAGAATAACAATAAAAATAGTTTAGAGAAATCCGCCACAAATCCATCACTATTGTAACACGCCAGGCACCAATGCATGCAATTTGACCACACCTATTTACGTCAAAGGCGTAAACATTCTAACCGAATTGCAGTTTGTCACCACCATCAATCATATGACACTTAAATAAGCCCCCCTAAGCAAAGTGAATATCAACCTAACCCAGTAACCAACCAAAGTTACAAGTCGTTTTGAGTTTTGACATCCATCAGCATTCAGCATCTAGAAACATTCATCATAAGAGTAAATAAGTAAATGTCTCCTTCTTCGTCTTCAGCTGCAAACTGTCAACTGCTTCTGCCACAAACTGAATACTTAATCATGAAAATGGGGTCTTCAACTTATTATTTTCTGGGGGTAAAAACCAGTAAAAAGAAGAGAACCATACCAATCCAAACCAGAGTCAGTCCACCAGACAAGCAGACAGATTTGGCTGTCCTCCACAAAAATAGACTCACTGTCCCCCCAATTATGAACAGTGCTGGGGCATGTGACCAATATGAGAAGGCCAGTAGAGTACAATCTATCTATAGATTTGCAAACCTCACAGACATCACCATCACAAGTGAAACTGGATTAAGAGATGCCCCTCCTTCTGTTGTAGTTTACTCCTGCTTACAAAAGAAATGTGATGACAAAAACCAACCTTGCAGGGACAAAGGAAAAGTATGATATGAAGAGACAAAAACCCACATGAACATAACAGATAAATGGGCTGTTATTGTTCTCCATAAGACCAATAATGGCTCTTCCCTTATATGGACTACCAGCTGAAATTATCAGGAAACAAGACAGCAAAAGGCAATCCTAGCTTTTCATTAACTGGCAAAATAAAAGAGAACAGAACATCTCTAGCTATTACACAATAGTCTCCTACAAAGTTACAAAGTTAGAGTTCTAATCTCCTCTGACATACTAACTACTCTTCCTCATTCTCCTCCTCCAAATTATTCATCAACATCACCTCTGTTAGGCTGCACTTCTTTGAATTAGACATCCTTCCAAAGCTCCATTTCCCTTTACATGAGCTTCGAAGGGCGACGGAATATAACTTTTCCAGAACCTAACTTAGTTTAAACACCACACCTGCCGCTACACAAAACACTTCGTCACCAAGAAGTTGGGGGTTGATAAATGCCCCTCCTAATGACAAAATACTAAGTCAGCGAATAACTTGAACCCATTCGTATCGCCCTGGGAGGGGTATATCATTCACCACATCAAAGTTGTACCTGTGACATTTCACATAACTAATTGTCAAGCTAGCCTCAAGAAGAAGAAAAAAAGTAAATTAAGAGAAGAAAAAAACAGCAATTTAACTAACGATATAGTGGAACTGCGAGCGTTCATACTTGTCTATGAATAGTCTCCGCTGCTGCTCTTCTTGACTGGCAAAAAAGTCATCCATTTCTTGAGTAGTAGGGAAGTTCCCCAGGGTGTCATTACTAACTCTCCTGCTAGTAACCATGGAAGCTCCCTGCCTTGTTGTTGAACCAGGGGTCCCCACACTATCAGAGTGCCTTATCAAGCTACATGGTGTGCTTTCTCTGGTGCTCCTCCTAAACCAAAAATTCCGATAACGAAATTGGCTCATCAAACTAGTTTAGCATTCTGAAACAACAGATTCATTATCTGAAACAGAGCGACTAGACTAGCATATTCTTCACTAAAACTCCAAACAGAAGCAATACATCGTTGGCACTACTATCCCACAAGTATCTGCAAATGTCAAGATCACAGCAACTTATTGCACCAGTAATGTTTAAAAAAGGACCACCAATGAACACAACCTAGATCCCCAAGGTCAGTGACCGCAATATAATCTTTGTACCACTCTACCCTGCACCATCGCGAGGGTAGATACCAACCTTTCAAGTTTCACCCATTTCTGTCATGCCAAAAAACAAAAAATCCACCCCCTTAAAAAAGCTATACATTTTGAGAATCAAACAGATTCAATCAACCACGAGCACCCACAAAGGAAAAACAGTCAATATGGAGGTCATACACACTCAAAAATACAATCATTTCAGTAGAGGTCACTTAAATGATGCCTCAGAAAATTTAGTTTTCATTTCATTTTCAATGTACCTAACCGAAAAATTTGACAGCAGCGGATCAGTTGCCTCAATACAAAGAAATAAGACGGAGGGGGCATTAATAAATCTGTTGATAGGTACACCATGTAGTAGATTTGGAACTAGTTGCGTGATAAGCATTAAAGAACGCCATTCACAAGTTGGCAGACATCTTTTACCGTCTGTGAAAGCAACTCTCAGACTGCGAAATATGTTTACTAATTACTAGTGTATCACTAGAACATGAAGGGAAGTCCGAAACAACTTAGAGCCACACAAAGGAGACGATGCAATTTTCACATCGCAGCATCAAAAGGGGAAAAAGGCAAAAATAAAAACAAATATAAACAATTCAATGATCAGAAACTCTTTCAAGTCACATAATAACTTAGAATCCCATGCTGTGACTGTGGCCCGTTCCCTATATCAGAGGCAAGTCTGATATGGACAGCACAACGAACACTTGAAATAACTCATGGAGGAGAGGTAACTCTGCATATCAAGGACAAAATAGAAAGAGGGTATTGAATATTGATGGTGGAAATATCCAAAATGGGGACATACTTCTAATTTCCTTTGGTTTCTGAAGGCACATAAGAGAAAAGGAAGAACGAGTATAATTTTTTTATCAAGGGAACTGAAGAAAAGAAGTTGCAGCTCTTAAGGAGACAATCAAGCAGGGGGATGCATACACCTATACTTTTAATACTGTAAAAAATGGAGAAATCACCCTTGCTGACCAAAATATTGAAGAAAATGAAAAAGGGAATAAAAAGAAGAGAAACTCCCCATCATGCAGCAGACAATGAACTCTGCATTTTAGCAAATAAGAAAAGAAAACAGGAGCAACAAAAGAGTAACCAACTGAGCTCGGAGGAAAACCTAGAAGGCAGAGCAGGTTCAACTGAAACTCAGAGTTAATACATGGAAGGCCAGCAGTAAAAAAAAAAAAAAGCACAAAACTCACAGCAATTAGTCAGAAGAAACAGATAACCCACAAGGAGGAAAACTAGAAACGACAAGGTAACAACAAAAAGCGAAAAAGCAAACCAACTAACAAGACGAGGAGGAGAAGCAAGAAAAGAAAATGGATTGATACCTTTCTCTAGTTTCGAACTCCGAGCAGTTCTCTCCAAAAGAGCCCTCAACCCCAAAATCCTCAGGCGGGCTAGAACGAAACAACTCCCCTTCCATCACCCTGAGAATCTTCCCGCCGGACGACTTGGGCTCCGTGCTCACTCGAACCTTCTTCGAACCTGGGGTTTTGCACCTCAAACCCTCTCTGGGAACGCCAATTTCATCTGGGTCCTTCCGGGAGTGTAAAGGAGGTTTCTCGAGGCGGCGGCTCCGGAGCTGGAGGTAGGATAAGGACGAATCATCGACCTCGGTAGTGGTCTTGGGCGGGGACAGAGACTGTTGAAGCCTCTGAAGGGCTAGGGTTTTCGCACGGGTGCGGATGGTGGAGGTGGCAGAGGAAGAGTGAGAGAGCTCCATAGCCACCGGCGATTTGGTTTTCTTCATGTACTTGCCCATTTCCTCGCCGGGGGAAAAACTGTGCCCTGCTTCTTTCCGGTTTTCGGCTCAGGTTTTGCTGATTCTTCTTCTTCTTGATCCTCAAGGAACGAGCAGCTCCGTATGTGAGAAGGAAGGGAACAGAGAAGAGGGAGAGAGAGAAGGGAGGGAGGGAAGAAAAGGAAGGCGAGACTTGAGAGTTGAGAGTCAGAGCAGAAGTTTGAGAACGGGGAAAGCGGAAAAGGGGAAAAGGGGGATTTTCCACATTTTAGGGTTTTCGTATTTTGGAGGGTAATTTTGTCATGTTCGTGTGATTTCTTCCCTTTTCTCATGTATGCCATTTAAAATGCAAAAAAATAAAAGTTTTTTTTTCCACATTGCTTATGCTTCCTTGGAAAGAAATTTGTCTGTTGAGTGTTGACCATTCCTTTTAGATTATCCAATCTGATTTTAAATCAAAGAAGAAACGTGAAATTCAAAATGGAGAATCATTTTAAAATTTGTTTCCACCACGATGTAATTATCACAAAAGACAAAACGGTTACAGATTTTTAACTTGTAACAAATTGATAACAAATATTTGAGCGAATGTCAAAACGATAATTCTGTCACTCTCCGTTCAAAGTTATATCTCCCTTGCCGAGACAACATTCCATCGCATCAAAATTATCAACGAGGTGATCAAATGTTAACGAGTGGTCTAGTTTTGAGTTTAAGGGTGGTTTCATTAAAAAAAAGAGTTTAAGGGTGGTGAGTAATAGCAACTCTCACAAATTCATTTAAAGGACAACATTGCAGGGAGGGAGTAAGAACAACTCCTCCAAAGTAAAAGAGAATATTTAAGTTTATTTTAATATTAAGTTTTTCGTAGCGGCGTATACTGACCCTTCTCCCTCACCAGGTAGTGCAAAGGTTATAGAGTGAGTTGCTCGAGAGAAGATAGTGCGAGACAAGCGGTAGCATCATAATTGAAAATGTCACGGGAAGGATCACAATAAGAAGCCGCAACTGGAATGGTTTAGTTGTGTTGTTTTATGATGATGAGTATAAATTGGAGATTCAAAGTCTCTGTTTTATGATTCACGAATTGAAGTTCCCCGGCTATTTAGAGATTTACATTTGAATTGTAAGAAATGATTCACTTTTGTTTTCTTTGCTTTGATTTTTAATAAATTTTACTAAGCTCCGGAGCAATAGTTTCATATGTTTGGTTAAAAAGGATTAGGACGTGACAAGCATCGTTGTCGTGGTATGATTAGGGTCATAACAAACATGACGGTACCGGGGTAGGCAAACCCTATCGAACACGTAGTGAGACTCGAGGTCATTGAAGTTCACAAGGTCAGATGGCAAACATTTAATCTTAATCAACCCACAAGAACACTGAGGCATGAAACTAGGTGTTTCATAGATCAACAAGATTGCAAATGCCGAGCTCAGATCACGCCCTGAAGGTCACCATTCAACATGAACAAAAGTGTATCAAGGTCACACATTCAAAGCACAAACTTGGTGGGCATGTCTAATTCAAACACCATATTATGCAAAATCTTGCTCACCAAGGCTCAATCATCCAGTCAAGCACTTTAGCCACATGCAATTCATCATCATATTTTCAAAAATTCCCAATTCTTCTAAGCTAAGAACCCTAGATCCAATTCTCCAAAATTAACCAAGTAAAGGATGGAAACACACATGGAGAAACAAAGTAGGATCGAAGAGGAAGGTAAGGAGGTGGCAAGAAGATCGAAAAATGACCGGAGGGGATCGCTAGAGCTTCGCCTGAAGCTCGCAGCCGAAAGAGCAAATCGACAGTGACAAAATCAAAGCCAAACTCCCCTCAAAATCCCTGCGAAGGAGCACCTAGAAGAGAGGAGTCCGGGTATTGGTTTTTGATTTGAGCCTGGAACTAAATCAAATTGCCATAAAACTGTATGGGAGAATGATTTTCGACGACAATTTCAGAGGATTCGTTCGAGTTGAAGTTCATGGGTTGTTTATAATTAGGTTGAATCGGGTTGGAGATACTTTTAATTTAAAACCCAACACAAAAAAGACAACTATTTTACACAACAAAAATATTTTATAACTAATTAAAATTTTAAACAAATAAATCGAGGCGAAAATATCAACATCCATAATTGTAGTTTGGATTTTAACGAAATGCAATTTACTTCAACATATGTCTAGTTTTTTCAATAAATATTTGTCGAAATAAGGTAAAGTGATTATAAGCTACACATTCATAATATTTTGTTATTCTAAAATTGTACAAAAAAAGATCACGTGAATTGTAGCTTATATTAAATCTACGTCTAAATATTAATCTGAAGTATATATTCGGCTAGGAAAACCACAAAATAAAAATATGACAAGATAGGTTAATTTTCACACAAATTGTAGCTTATAATAAAAATATGTAAACGTAAAGCTGCTGCTAGTATATAATGAGGTTAGGTTTATGTTTAATATATGTGTTCATTTTTAACTTGTTTTGTCAACTTGTTTTGTTAGTTGTAGCCTGATTACAATTTGGTTCATGATAAGGAACTTTATTTTTTAGAGAATGCCCGAGAATTCTTTGAAAAAGATCAAGCAAATGGAGATGGTACCATGAGTGCTAAGGAAAAATTTATCCAGTACCACAATATTGAACCGGAGTTGGAAATTGATGATATTGATAGGATGCTGGTGAAAGACGAGATTCACCTTGAATCATTAGTGCCAGAAGCTAGCCAATTTCCAAGAGTAGTGCTGCCACCAATTAATATTGAAGTAAAAACGCGATCGGGAAAAGAGTCTATCAAAGGAACCAAAAGAAAGAGATTTATGTCCAGTACTATTGTTGAAGATATTATGCAGGTAAAATCTTTGATGAAAGAATTGGTAGTGCTATAAAAAGCAATCAACGGATATATGGTGATGCTGAGCTTTCAGCCGAGTTAAAAAAATGGGGTTAGACAAATGGGAAGTTATGGAGGCACTTAGATTTTTTGAAGGACAATGAGCATCTTGTTGAAAGGTTTTTTGCTTGTGATGAGGAGATCAAACTCTGGCTCAAGAGAACAATGGGTTACAATAAAGGTCTTTAGAAGATGGAGTTTCAAATTATTTACTGCTTTTTTTTAACCTTTTGTTTTGTCGTTTTGGTTGGATAATAACGCCGCCACTTGCATTTTTTAGAAGATGGATTTTCAATGTTTCATATATGCAGATGAATGTGATTGTCACAATTTCGGTTTGGTTGTGGGTCGGACTACATTTTTCATATCCTAGTTTGATCGATACATATAACCTCACAAATGGTATAAAAATATCAGTCACCCAAGTTATGAAGTAACCAGGGAGATGCATAACTAGGGATGGCAAATTACCCACTCATGGGTAATTATACCCAAATCCAAGTAGACCCATTGATAATGGGTTGGGTATGGGTGAAGTGCATATGGATTTGGGGGTTTATAGATGGGTTTGGGTTTGGGGCTTCCATAATCTAAATGGGTTTGGGTTGGATATGGATATCCCTTTACTTGAGGGTGTTTTAACTACACATGCAAAAATTGGACCTATTTGCAAAACTTGAAAAGTTTAGGTACCAAAATGTAAGACCAAAAAAATTTAGGTACCAAAACGTAATTTTCCATCGATATTTTGAGGACTTATATGAAAAAAAATTTAATTTAGGTACTAAATATGCATGTCTATTAAGTTTGGGTACCAAACTGTAATTTGTATTTGGGCATGGGTACAAACCCAAATCCATTTGATATAAACCCAACTCAACCCAAAGTAAATGGGTATGGGTACAAACCCATCAAGCTTTACCCATATCCATCTATTTGGATTTCATACCCAACCCAATTGGGTTGGATAGTAAGAAACCCATGGGTATGGGCAAAGTTGCCATCCCTATGCATAACTTCTTCAACCAGTTGTTTTACTAATTATTCATATATAAACTTTTCAGCACTTTACCTCAATGTTGATCCCTTCAGTCTGGATCTAAGCAATGGAACCTGCACACATTCATTGTCGTTATTGCAATAAAAGGAACCATGTCATGGAAAAGTTTTTGGTTTGTTTTCTATATCTCATTTGGATTACTGATTCTTCATAATACGGCTCTGTTGTTGCAGGGTGAATGGGTGATCGCCATCTTAACTCAAAGCCAACATTATATAGAATAGAACACACACTTCAGGGATCGAACAACTAATGAAAATTGGAACCAAATGAAACTCCATTTCCCTGTAACACTATAATATTTCCTTGTACATTATGTTAATAATCTGAGCTATATATATTTCGAGTTGAGGAAAATTAATAAGGATATAGTTAAAAAGTTTCAGTTTAATTTAATTCCAAATATATGTGAAACATGATTTGAGAATTTAATTTATTTCGTTTCTAAATATTTAAACATGACATAAGAATTCAAATGAATGAATTCTACACATTTTCAAATAAATTAAATTGTCAACGGTTTATTAAAGCTAAATCTTGAACATATGCAAGATATTCATATTAGTACGTTACTGCCCACAACAGCCTTAAACTGCAACTAATCGTCTTTCTTCATTCGAACAAAACAGGGAACTGAACGTGCAAAACTCTGCCCATGCAATGCAAGCATATCACCATGAGGTAACAAGGGTCCTGTGTCATTGCATCACTTTCCCAAGCAGTACCTTTCCTTCCATGAATCAACAGACCAACATGGCAACATTTGACTAGCAGAGTACAAAAATTGGAGGAACTAACAAGTGCAATAGAAGAAGCTTTCTCTTGGGCTCAAAACCCTTGATCATCCTCCAGACAACTTTCTATTCACACATGTACAGCATCTGGACCAACTTGCCTGTTCACGGACTCATGAGGCAGCATCATGTGTGCGCTTTAAGCGACGAGGAGGCTACTATCGAGAGCGTTGCATCACTCACCGCACCACGTTGTGAACTGCTGCTACCAACAACTGGTGCTCCTCCTGCATCAATTCTCCTTTACACTTGCTGTGGGGAATAACTAACTTGCCATACCATTTGTGAGAGTTCCTGGTGATGAAACCAAAAGAAATTAGATTCACAAAGGGACAGATACAAATTCTTGCCTGGCCAGACAGCAAAATCTAGGTACGGGATGTAGAACTAAACATGTGATCATGGAAATATGCAAGTATCTTATCACCAAACCAACAAACCAATCGATAAAATTAAGATTCCTAATGGACACAGCCCAATTGGGTACACAGATAAATGCAACTAAAGCTCCAGCAATAAAACAACCAAACAAGCAAAACCGAATCACTGTCCTAGTCTATTAAATCAAAATGCATGAGTTGAAAGCTTACCTTCACTTCCTCCCACCTCCTGCAGATCCACTACCTCCCTGGAACAGCCGATTAATCCGAGACTCGACATCTTCCAAGCTGTACTTGATGTACTTGTCCACATTTCTCCCCGCTTCAGGGGAATTCTGGAATCTCCCAATAAAATTCCCATAAGCTGGCAATAGAAGGTTAGTTAACGAGGTCCTTATATCCTTTCTCAGTTGTTCGTCAAAGACAACCCACTGAGATTGAGTTTTATAAACCTCCTCGAATTGGGAGTTGAATAGCTTAATCTTCTCCTTTGCAGACATAGGCTTTCCTCCAGCATTTGCAGTTGCCGCTGGGCTACTATTATCGGCCTTCAAAACTCCCAGAATCTTATTCCAGGAGCTTCTCTGGTAGTTCAAATGGTACTGTTTGACTTTAGCAGTGTGTTTCCTAATCCAATCGTCACCTAAGAGGGCACTCAATTGGCTGTTCTTCGGGTCAATGTCCTTCACCTTCTTCACAATGTACTTCTCATTGTTCATCATAAACACAGCGCACAATGCAGGGTCGCCATAGATCTTGGCCTTCTGCTCTAGATTGCTCTCTAGAAGCTCCATAATCCACGCCATCTGAACTGACAATGGAGATGCTGAGGAATCCTTGGCTCCCAGCCCACCATTAACACTGTCCTCAAACACCTGCTCCAGTGTCTCTCTCGATCGACAGGCAGCAAGCAGATAATTCATCACATACCTCGTGATGGGATGAAGCCCGCCACCAGGGACTGGATCCTTAGCAGGGTCTCGACGGATTAAATTCTCTAATTCCATAAACATCCCCCTAATAGCTTCCCTCAGCCTATTCCAAATGGCGACTGCCTCGTTTCTAAGAACCAAGCAGTACTGATCAGAGAAATTGCATTCAAACTCGGGGATCAAATCCCTCAGCGTCTCGAACAAATCCAGAATCTTGAACAGCCGCTCGGGCGACCTGCTACCGATAGCCACCGCGTCGGCAAAGTTCAAGATCTGGATCGTCGATCCACGACATACCTCCATAAAGGACAAATCGGCGGCGGAGGATAAGCCGAAGAAGACGCGGTCGCAGAGGCGGCGCTCGCTGGGGAAGAGGATCCGAAGCAGGACATTCGCCGCTTTGATCCACTTCTCGATCTCGTCCTCCAGATCTTGCCACGGCATCTTCTGGACCTCCTCGCTGCTCAGCTTCTGCTGTAACCCTAACCTAGAAACGCTCTCTTCGAGGAAGTCCCTACGGCAGCTACTGTAAACGTGGGAGCACTCCTTCCCGAACCCCGCCGCCACCATCCGCTTAGCAATCTCGTGGAGATCGTTGATCGTTCCGGAGGGAAGCGCATCGATCACAACGTCGTAGTCCGTGAGCGGCTGCGCGACTGGTATATAATCGTGGTACTCACCGTTAGCCGAAGGAACAACCACTTCTTCCTCTTCCTCGTCTTCATCCTCATCCTCCTCCTCCTCGTCGGAGTCAAACCAATGATTACCAGCAGGGGATTCTCCGTCACGGCGGCGACGTCGGTTGAGCTCGAAGGACTCCCCGCCGCGCTCCATCAACATCCGGAACTCGTCCTCGAGGCGGAAGACGGCCTGCTGAATCAAGTCCTCGGCGCGTGCGAGGGAGGCGCCGACGGCCTTATCAGCGGCGGCCATCGGGGTCCAATCACGAATCGTGGCGGTGAGCTCGTCGATTGTGTCGAGGAAGGCGGCGGAGTCGGCGGAGTCGGACCAGATGGGCTGGTCAGCGACGACGTACTGAGAGATCTGGCGGTCGAGGGATTTGATGGCGTGGTCGAGAGCCCTGGAATCGGTGCCTGGAACAGCGGCGGCGATGTGGTCGGAGAGATTCTCGCGGGAAAAGCGGCCATCGAAATTGGAGAAGATCTGGAGGATATCATCCGCAGTGGACTCGTTGTGGCCAAGGGTCTTGGCAATGTGGCGAGCCATGGCGATGAGCTTCTCTTCGCCGTTCTCAGCCATTTTTTCTCTTCCTTTTTGGTGCTTTAGTGGAGCTGGGGAGTAGCTGAAGCTGAATTTAGTGATTGTAGTATGCTAACAATAATAGAAACCATGAAAAGAGGAGAGGAGGAGCGAGAGACCGGTGAAGGGAAGGGAAAAGAAAAGAAGAAAAAGATAAAGGTGGGGGAGTGATGGAGATGAGACGGGGGAGAAGGTGGGAGATGGACAAGGGAAGGAAGGAAGCAACGTGGAAACGCGCTTTTTGAGGAAAAAATCCCAGAATACGCTAGTTATTAAAAAAAATTCCCTAAATACAGTACTTATAAAACTAATTCCCAAAATACAGCAGTTTCAACATCACTGTCTTTGTCTAAGACAGTGATGTTGATCACCGCTTTTGTCCAAAGCAGTGAAGCAGCGGGGTACGCATCACCGCCTTGGACAAAAGCGGGGAATGCATCATCGCTGTGGTCAAAAGCGGTGATACGTTCCCCGCTTTGGACATCAACAGTGAAGCCATCACCGCTGTTGTCCACAGCAGTGATTGCCCCCACGTTTTACACAGCCCTGGTAGGTGGACAGGTAGGTAACAGCTACCTAGCCATCACCGCTGTTGACTAAGGCGATGATGGTTCACCGCCTTTGTCCAAAGCGGTGATTGCCTCCAATTTTTCCTATAAAAAGCCACGCCCCCTCTTCCCTCCTGCTGCCAAACACTCCTGCTGCCAAACAGAAAATTAGTACCAAAATTATCGTTTTCGCAGCTGGTTCCTCCGTAGTTTACTGCTCAAGAAACTCGTCGGGATTCGGTATGTTAGAATTATGTATTGTTTACATTTTGATTATGTGCTAGAATTAGGTATGTTAGAATTATATATTTAGATTAATGATATATGTTAGTTAGTTAGTACTGAATTTAGATTAATTTGTTTAGTTATCATGATAGATCGGGATTGAGTATGTTATAAGTATGTATTTTTTACATGTTGATGTGTTAGTAATTATACTGTTTGTATTTAGTGAATTGCGGTTATTGGAAAATATGTTATGATATTATTTAGTTTAATTATGATATGATAGATGTTAGTTAGCTAGTTATGAATTTAGATGAATTTGTTTAGTTTTCTCATAATAGATAAATTAGTTGCATTTTATTATCGCTTTGGATGATATTGTTTTTGTATCCATAATGTACTAATTATATACTATACTTAATTATTATAAATTGCAGACATGGGTAAATTTAAGAAGTTTCGGCTTATTATTTATTGGAATGGTCGGGTGACAAACTCGAACATTGGGATCGACTATGAAGATGGCGAATCCAGTTCGCTTACAATTGAGTCGAGATTCTCGTGGCAAGAACTCCATGACAGGTGTGCAGAAAGGACTTGTACGGGCGGGCAAATGAGAGTTCGTCAAATTACTTACCGGTATCCCAACATGAGTGCTGACGGAGTCATGTACGAAAGAGTTGACATAAATGACGATGACGACGCGAACATGATGACACAGTTCATATCTGAGAACGGGGTGCGGCTTGCAGAGGTGTATGTCGAGACCGAGCCGGTCAGTGAAACTCATTCTCACCAGTATTCTTATGATGATGGTTTTGCAGGAGGGTATGGCTGGGGTGGTAGTTCAAGTAACTACGGAGCAGGTTCTTCTGCCGGAGGGTATGGTTGGGGAGGTACTTCAAGCAACTACGGAGGAGGTAGTTCTGAAGGAGCTGTTGGGTGGGAAGAATACCTGCCACATGGTGGTGAGACTGCCGTCGATATCGTTCAGCCCGACGGTGATCAATGGCCTGCTTGGGGTCCAGAGTGGGGTGACATTGAAAACACCCTTCGAACTGGGCGTACTTCGCATGACCAAGAAGGCGATGCTGGTTATGCTGCTAAAGATGACCCTCCTTCGCCGAGCTATCCATTCGCCTCCAGTGACGATGAAAGTGAGGAAGATTTGAGATCAGTCAGTGAGGAGGAAGATGCGGACGATAACGACGATATCGATGACAGTGAGGTGGCGTTCCGCCAGGCACCAACGCCTTACTACACAGAGGTTCCTGATCAATTTTTATATGGTCAGAACGATGCCCCTGACTATCGGCCCATGCCTGTGTATAATCCGACTGCTAATTTGGAAGTGGGTATGGCGTTCACTTCAAAAGCCGATGTGCAAGACGCTTTTAGCGAAGAAGCCATGCGGCGTAATTTCGAATGGAAGGTAAAATATTCTGACAAGGGACAACTGCATGTCATTTGTAAGAATGCTGGAGAGGGTTGTATGTGGCAACTTCGTGCTGCATATATGAAGAGAAAGGGGGTCTGGGTCATGCGGACAGCAGAGAACAACCACAGTTGCTCCTCAACCATACTTTCACAGGATCACCGGCAACTGAAAGCAAAAAAAGTGGCAAGAACCATTAAGCACCTTATCGAGGCACAACCAGATATCAAGATAAAAGCTATCATGGCGGAGGTGAAGGATCGACACTCCTACACCATAAGGTATAAGAAGGCGTGGCATGGGAAGCAGAAGGCCATGGCTGATGTCTACGGTGATTGGGATGACTCGTATGCTTTACTCCCCAGACTAATGTCCGCAATGGAGGAGTCCAACCCTGGGACGGTTTCCGTGCCTTGGTACAACAACGTAGAAACTGAAGATCAAGTTCGAGTACAGAACGAGTTGATGTTTCATCGTCTGTTCTGGACATTCAAGCCATGCATTGACGGGTTTCCCTTCTGCATGCCAGTGATTCAGGTATATTACGGACTCAAAATATTGTACTACTTCATTACTTTACTAATTTCAATTTTTACTAACTCAGTATTCATTTTAACAGGTTGATGGAACTTTCCTTACTGGGAAGTATAAAGGAACTCTTCTTATTGCCACTGGGGTTGATGGAAATTTAAGTATTTTTCCCTTAGCATTTGCATTAGTTGAAGGGGAGAACAACCTAAGTTGGGCATGGTTCTTTGACCAGCTACACGCCCACGTCACACAAAGAATGGGTATTACAATTATATCGGATCGACATGCCGGGATTAAACACGCCGTCCGTGGTTTCCCGGACGAATGGGGATGGACATGGCGTTGGTGTATTCGTCACTTCCTAGCCAATTTCCAACACAAATTTGGCAAGAAGAAAGACATCAGAGATCAATTATGGAGTGCAGGTAATAATGTAATTCAGTGCTTGTTCAAGGTTTATTGTTCAAATGACAATTCTTATGGATTAATTATTAATTCTCCGGTCTTGTAAGATATCTAAATTCACTAAAATACTAGAATTGCAGACCTAAAATGTCTCTAAATTCGCTTAGTTGGAAGATAGCTAAGTTCACTAAAATACTATAATTGCATACTTAAAATTGCATACTAAGTTCACTAAGTTCACTAAAATCTAAATTCACCTAACTAGCTACCATTGCATATCTAAAATAAATTCAACTTAAATTGAACTTACTTGAAACCATATGGGGGATTTGCTACAAATCGTAGCTCATCATCTGGCAACCAGAATTCCCGAGGGTCTTGAGGTGCGAGAAACGGAAGATGCTCCCATGCCCAGAGTTGAAGTATGAACATCGCACCACCAGCTTGTTTCGCTCCCAACCTCGAGCAAGTACACAACTCTCGGTAGATTCCAGCCAAGACGGCCGACCCCCAACTTTTTCTCCCGATCTCGTCCCAGTCACCGAGGAGCATAGGGAACCACATGCCTTGTATCCACTTATTTGACTTGTCGGGGAACAGAAACCCACCAACCAAGGCAATTAGGTATACACGTGCATACCGCTCCACCTGATCTTCAGGAGTATCCAGGCCTATATTAACCTCCAATTGGATGTGGTCAACAAGCCACGGGATCGATACTTGCCCCGCATTCAGTGGTGGATGCCCAACCCCTTCGACGGGCGTGGTGGTCGGCATGTTGAACCCCAGACGTTCCTGAATCAATGGCCCCCAACCATCTTCTGGTTTTCTCGAGCTGTCGATGATGGCATCTCCGGTGATCGGGAGCCCGGTGAGGATGGCAACATCTTTGAGGGTGATCGTCATTTCACCCTCGGGAAAGTGGAAGGTATGCAGCTCAGGGCGCCATCGCTCTGTCATTGCCGTCAGCAGATCGTTGTCAATATCTAGCCTCATAAAGTGCCTCAAATTGTGCAATCCCGCCCTCTCTAGATAGGGATGCAGTCGAGGATGCCAACGGGGCAATCGACATGTACCTCGATGACTGATGGGAATAAGTGATTCCTACAAAACAAAAAACACAATATTGTCAGTCAATAGAAAGCAAAATAAAAACTTAGAAAGCAAAATAAAAACTTTAAAACTATTGAAATAATTGTAGTGTATCTACCGGATTATTGTTCCAAATTGAACGAGAGCGATGTTGATCTTGCCCGGTTAAATACCTTCGATCCCTTGGGCCAGGATCGATATACAATCTAGGGTCGTATATCTCAGCACCCATCTATAAAAAAATATGAAATCAAATCAATTTAAATTTTAGCACCCATGTAAAAAAAAATGCACAAAAGAATTAAATAAATTTACGTACTCTCAAAGCCTCTTCGTCCATTTTTTGCCGAAAAGCTAGCGAGAGTATCGACAAAACAACAAAACAAAAACTCTAGTAATTCTTTCTGATGCGGAAGATCGGACTTAGCCGCAACCACAGAGCATACTTAGAACGAAACTAGAGTGAAAAATGGAGGGAGAAAGAAGTATGAAGTGGTGGTGTGGTTTGGAATGAGAGGGGGGATGGGTAATTTATAGGGTTTGGGGCTGGGAAAAAACCTGGCCAGTTATCACCGCCCCAAACAAACACAGCGCCATCACCGCCTTTGTTGGACGCGGTGATGTGCAGGGATCGCTGACGTGGCCTCTCCTGATGCGTCGGATTGTGGAGAAAAACCACAATCCGCGCATAACTGCATCCGACGGCAGCGGTGAAGGCGCGGGGTGGGGGGCGGATCGCTGACGTGGAAAGCGGGGCTATCACCGCTTTGGTCTTCAGCGGTGAAGTGCCCGCGCGCGTCCACGTCAGCGATCCGCGCCCCTTCACCGCTGTTGGATCCAACGGTGAAGGCTTCACTGCCTGCCACATCAACGGTGATGCCATCACTGTCGTCCTTGACAGCGATGATGGCATCACTGCTTTGGTTTAAAGCGGTGATAACATCACTGCTTTAGTCTAAAGCGGTGATGTGTCATCGTTTTAGACCAAAACGGTG